AAAGGGCACTAGGAGTTAAGCGCAGATAACTTTACGCAAACGCTGATTTTTATCAAGCAAAACTTATTTATTACAAAAATTATTCTTACATGTTTTGGCTCATTTTTGAGCCTTCTTCAGAGACAATGAAAAATTAAATAAATAAAATATTTTTGTAATAAATAAGTTTTGCTTGATAAAAATCAGCGTTTGTGTAAAGTTATCTGCGCTTAACTCCTAGTGCCCTTTTTCTTTAAAAAATAAAAAAAAATAAAAAAAAGAACTTTAATTTAAGGCTAAAATGCTGGATCAATTAGATGAAGAATTCGGAATCGGTAATTTGGTTAAAGAGGAAATACATACTGCCCGCAACACGGCATATACACAGAAAGATTTAAAAGGCCTTAAAGTCGAACATGATATTGTGAGTATAATAATATACGATATTAATTATTATTTAAGCACTCTTGATACTTGTATATTATTTATATGAATATATATTTTCTATTTTGTTTATTTATAATAAATTTTAAATAGGACATATTTTATAGGAAACATTTGAAGAAGGCAAGACTGTAATCCTAACGTTAAAAGATCAAGAAGTATTAAATGAAGCTGATGATTTACTTGTAAATGTGAATATGATTGATAATGAACGTTACAAACGTAGTGTTTTGAATAAAAAAAAGAAACCTGTGTATGATCCATATGCTGATGAAAATTTCGACGAATATGGATTCTCTAAAAATAAGATTTTAGAAAAGTATGATGAAGAAATTGATGGTGAGAAGAAAGATAATTTTGTGTTGGGTGTTAATAATGCGGTAGAAATTAAACGACGCCAGATAGAGACAGTGAAGCAACGCTTGGCAAATAAAAAATTAGAAACGCTACAAATGACAGAACCAAAATTAGCGAGTGAATATTACAATGAAGAGGAACTTGCAAAATTCAAGAAACCAAAGAAGAAGGTAGAAAATTGTTTTCTAATGTGTTTGCAACCAGTAGATTAATATGTCGCAATTCGCTGGCTCGCGTAAAGTATCCGCGACAGTGTCTCACACCATGTTCTTAGCGCCGAGATACTACCGTGTTTCCAAATTTTTTAGATTAATAATTACTGAGTTACTTGGTATGGCTATATATTTAATATATTTTGTGTTTATAATTTATTTTTAAAATATGTAACATGTGTTATCTGCAATAATATAAAATACATAATATGATTATAGATTCGGAAAATTAGAACGAAAAAGAAACTGAAAGCAGACGATTTAGTCCCTGTGGACAATGATTATCTTAGAGATCTTGGAAGTAGGAGAAGAAAAAAACCGGAAGATTCGAAAGATAATGATATTTTAGATGTCGATGATTTAGAAGGTAAAGATATTTAGCTGATTTTGTAAAAATTAAAGATAAAAAAGTGGTATTTATTTAAATATTAGACATCTATAAATTGTAAGTATAATTTAATTATGTAACAAATTCTATTTAATTTTTTGTGTTTAATTCTTTGTATAGTACATTGTTAAATTTTATGTTTATTGCGTGCGTGCGTGTAATATTTTTATGTTCTTCAATTTTTTATATATTGATAATAAATTGTATCATTTGTTCGATTTATTAAAATTATTGCGAATAGCTCCTGCAGAAGATCTTACTGGGATAAAACTTGAAGAAGACGATAAGGAATTAGAATTACAAATGGCTTTAAAGAAAACTCAGCGTTTAAAAGAGGGACATTCAACCGGCATCCAGAAAACTGTTGAAACAATAAAACAAGAAATTCTTAATTCTGAGGAAAGTCAATCTGGAAATATTGTTCTTAATTCTACTGCAGAATTTTGTAGGACTTTGGGTGATATACCTACTTATGGACTCGCTGGAAATAGAGAGGAAAATGGACAGGAACTAATGGTATAGTAAATATAACATATTATTAGGTAATTATATTAGAATAATGTTGCATTTTTGATACAATATAAATGTTGTAGGATTTTGAAATAGACGGCATTAAGGAGGAACCACCTGCAAACGAAGAAGAGGACAATGGTCGTGGTGCTTGGAATACAGTGCATTTAGGTATCTCATGTATATTGATGCAGATTAATTTTGTATAATAAAATTGATATATTTTTCAATAAGAAAGAAAAGGAAAACAAAGCGAAGCTTCTTATCAACTCTTATAACTTTTATAACTTAAAAAAATTGAAGTATTTTTTATAATTTTTCTAAAATATAAATTAAATGTAACTTTTGTAATTAGATGAGAACATTTCGGAACCAGTTGTAATGGAGGCAGCAATTCTAGACGCTGAGCCGTCACTCGGCCATGGGGTAGGTGGAGCTTTAAAATTAGCTATGAGTAAAGGTTACTTGCAGAAAGAAGACAGCAATCGCCCTTCAGCGTCACGGTTCGCACATCTGCAAGCTCAGAATTATTCAATAGAGGACAAAACATATGGGTAAGTAAGCTATATATTACTGCAATTCGATATACGATGATCTTCTTACGTGTTTCAAGTATGTCGCGCGGAAGAAACACGTAAGAAATGGTCCTTATGTCGAATGCGTTCTCACAAGTATTGTGTTAGACAAGTCTCTAGTGAATTTCAAACTGTCAGTTAACAGTTTTAAATAGAGCCCGGAAATCGGTGCTCGGAACGGGTGATCCGCTACCACTACGAGAGTTTATCGCTTAATGGGAGGTGAACACAAGGCCCGAGAAGAGAGTAGGATTTGTTAAGGTATGTTTATGTTATGCGATTCCGTTTCTGCGAATCGTGCTAAGACGCTAGACGAATTTGTTCATGGGAAGAAGAAGTTAGATGTTAGATTGCAAAATAAGTCGACATCAAAGATCAGGAAAGATTTTCTTCTCTTGTCATATTGTGACTGTAACCGTTGTTTATGAACGGTTTGCATGTATTTAATACAAGCCAGTATGATGGATAATTTTATGCGGCCATATATTTATGCTCTCTTAGATATCAAAATGTTTGACATTTTCGAATACACTTAAATTTTAGGTAAATATAAGAATAACGAAAACAAAAAATTTATGTATTTTTACGTGCATGAATTTTAATATTTAATATTTGTTTTTGTGTCAGTATATGACATAGAGTACATATACCGTTTGTTTATATTGAAAAATAAATAATATATAGAATTTTTAAATAACTTAAGTAACATATCTTAAAATTATTTTAATTTGATCACATAATGTTGTAATGTATCTTGAAGATTTACGAGCATTCTTCAGAAAGACTTGTTTATATTGGTAGTGGACACAAGTTTCAGAACACCGTATTTCAAGGGCTTTAATTTTTGTTTTTTTTTTTTTGTATAATATTGAAATCTAGTTATATACGACGATAACGTAGTATAGTTCTTTAGCTGATATTGTTGGGAAAACTGACTTGAATTTTAGATAAAAAGCTCATAATTTGATGTCTATTTTATTTGCTCGTTTATGTATTATTTTCGTTTCAGGGATGACGATAAGTTCGGCAGAAGAGATCGCTTTAATGGACCGACATCTGATTTTAAGGAGAAAGAAGGCTTCAAGCCGAATGTTAAGCTTGAATATATCGATGATGATGGGCATGTCTTGTGCGCTAAGGAAGCTTTTCGATATCTGTCACATAAATTTCATGGAAAAGGTCCAGGAAAAAATAAGGTGTTTATATTATAAAGTATTATACATATATATAAACTTACGGGTAACATTTATTACTATTTCAATTAAAATTAATATTCATAGTTGTGATAATTCTCTAATACTTTTTAGGTGGAGAAAAGAATGAAGAAAGCGGAACAAGAAGTTTTAATGAAACGAATGTCTTCAACAGATACACCTTTAGGTACATTAAATTTATTGCAAGCGAAACAAAAGGAAACACAATCACCATATATAGTGCTCAGCGGCAGTAAACAGATGCAAACGTAAGAATATTCATTTTATTTAAAGATTAATTAAGAATTTTTTAATGTGTCAATATTTTAAATATACCTATATATTACCTTTTCCTAGAATTCTTTTTTTTATTATAATTATTTTTTTATTATACGAATGAAAATTCTAATATACAAATAAATTTTTTTGCAGGACTAGCATAGCTAAAACAAAACATTAAAAAATAGTATACGTATACAAGGAGGAAAATTGTATATAATCCTACATATATATAATGTAGCATCTGGAAATACATAAAAGTTGAATTCACAATTTAATGTAAAAATTATAAAGTAGGAACGAAAAAAATTACGTATTTTTCTCAATGAATCATGAACATACGATAATAAGTACTCAACAAATTTATGACGTAAAATCAACTAATTTTGCGCCTGCGCTGCTTATCTAACTCTGTCAATATATCATTGAAAAAGTAACGGCGAAAGTAATAATTTTATAGATATTACTATACAATAAAACGCTTCACAGATACACGAATACTTTTTGATTAAATTACATGTTCCACGATATATAATTTAGACTGTTTTTTAATTATTTATATCATATTTTACATTGATGTAATAAAGTAAATGTAGGAATAAAAAATAAAAAATTCAAATAAAAAAATATAGATAAAATTATTTTGTAAATATAGATGTCAAATAATTCTCTCACTATTTTATAAAAATATACATTATATAGTTTATAAATTTATATTATTTTTAAAAATTAAAATACTTAATAAAATATTTATTAATATTATTAAGTTATTTTTATTGAATATTTAAATATTTTTATCTATTATCACAATAAAATCAGTAAGTCGAGAAAACAAAAATCTAAGTACTTCGTTTATAATACAATACTATACAACATACATAATACAAAATATAATCACTCTAATAAATCTATGATAACAAACAATTACTTACAGAATATCTTTATTTCCGTCATAAGATATGATTATATACTTGCATCATTTCGTTACAAATAATATATCGCTACAATTACATATAATAACTAGCTGATAAAATATTACAGTGATCGAAATACTACAAAATATAATTTTATCGTCTTTATGAATATCTTTATTTCACATTAATATCTATCAAAATGTCAATTTCAGATATCTTTTATAGGGATCGAGTAAATTACTATTCTCTAATTTACAATATGTTTGATATGGACGTTAAATATTGCTAATGCTACTGTAGTAACGATGGTAAAACTTTTCTATAAAGAACAGAGTATAATGTATATGCGTATACACACACACACACAAACACGTACACACACATACACACACACACACACACATATATATATATATATATATTTATATGTAACTATCTCTGATATCACAAGGCTTATTTTGTGCAAAAATAGTAATACTTGATTTTTTGAATCATACGGTGCATAGCAGCCAGCATATACATTAATGGTTTTTATCAATACATTTTTTTCAACGATACAACTGCATTTAACATGCGTATATATGTATATATAAAAATTGTGTGTGTGTGTGTGTGTGTGTGTGCGCGCGCGCGCGTGTCGTACGTGTTTAAATATGTACATATGTATTTATCTTTTTTTTTTTTTTTTTTTTTAAGTAACTAAAATCGTTTTTGTCTTATTATAAAATATATTTTAACACAGAGAAAGTTTGGCACTTCCTTTGGCAATCTGAAACTGGTTGTACATATGTATATGTCTTTAGTATTTGATTTTGATGTCTATTTCATTTTCTGAATACTTAATGTGTCTTTATATATACTTTTATTTGGGAATAGTAGATTTTTAATCGACTATATACTTATACGTGAGATTTCCAAATAGTTTCAGTAGAACATTTTACTTTTATAAGTTGTAATGTATTGCCAAACACATCAGATCTGAATAAGGATAAAAAAAATTATTTCTTTCTCTCTCTGTTATTATTTAAATTAGCCAATTTTGAAACTTCTTCGTTTATCATTTATTTATGGCGCGGAAATTACAAAACTAATCAAATATAAAGATATAATCTTTAAGTTATTCACACATTACCAGTATCGTTTTAAGTATATATTTTTTATGAAAATTCTTTTTGATAAGATGTTCTTTGAAGATGCATTTGAAAGTAATTGTTATCTATTTAAAGGATCGGAGATTTGTTCTGGCTTTTGTTTATTACTACTATCTTCTTGACAACTCTGACTAGATTTTACAGGTTTGATAGATTTTAATTTCGTGGTTCCACTATATCGGAAATTCACATCGCTACAAGTATCGAGTGGGTGTATCGTTCCTGTCAAATTTGTTAATGAATCATTACTCGTAACTTCGAGTTTACTAGTGGGAACTTTTCTTACAGAACTCAATTCGTATGCTGACTTTGATGATTTCAACTTGAGTTTCAGTGGTAACGATATCGATTTCTCTAAATTGGTAGCTGGAACTTTTAAATTGTTTTCGTTTTGTGGAACCGGATTATTTGCCAAATTCATAGTATCCGTAATTTGAATGTCGATGTTAACCGTCTTAGGATCATTCTCGTCGTTGTTTCTTATTCGTTCAGAATATTCATTTCTGAGAGCTGCTAATTGCGCGCGTTGCTTTTGTATGTGATTGTGCGAATTCGAAAAAAACGAAGAGACTTTCTCTAATTTCGTTGCTAAGTTGGGTTGGCTCAAAGTCGACTTCAATGGGTACGGTGTATCTATGCTATTATTCCTTAAAAGATTTTGAGACTCTCTTCCAGTTGAATTACTTTTTATCATTCCATGCTTGTTGTCTTCGATGACTTTCAAAGGATATGATTTGGTACCAGCATTTCGTCGTTTTTCGACCATACTTAATTGTGCGATTATTCTACGAACTTCTCCCGGGACTTCAATATCGGCACGTGTATCTGCTAATTGCTGAATGAACGCGCCCAATGTAGCTACTGTTACTTCAAGGCTGCGATTTTGAGACTCAAGTCTATGGATAGTAGCTTGTTGCATTGAACGCGCCGTCTCGAGCCTATGCAAGTTGCTCATAGTAATCTGTAATATAATTTTAGTATAACGATAACAGTAGAGATAAGAAAACTAAAAAAAAAAAAACAATATATAAAAAGAATAAATTTGAAATATAGATTGAAAATTTAATTAAATTTAAAATTGATTTTGAGATTTGCTATATTCGTAATATTCCTCGTATTTTAATTACAATTATTCTACTTTACTTGATATTGTTACTTCCAATATAATTCTGAAATTCTAAAACTCATGCAATGTATGAAATTTTAATTTTGATATTTGATAAATATCATTCGGAAATTACCTCAAGTTGCTCGTTAAGCTGTGCAACTTCTTGCGTGAGTTGTTTATTTCTTAATTTGAATTTCTCCAAATTCTCCATTTGTGGCTTCACCGATATCATTTCCTCTTGAAGTACTTGGTATTCCACTCTGTATTCGTTCAACTGTTTTGTGATTTCCAAGTCAGGATAAAATACACGTTTCATTATGCGATCTAAACTTTGTTTGTCTATTGCTGGCACACGTATCTAAAATCAAGAATAGAAACATAATAATAATAATAATACAAATTCACTCTTTTATTTCTTATAAATGATAAGGAAATATTATAACTCTTTACCTTGAGATATTCCATAATTTCTTCAAAGCTATCACAACATAGCAATTGATCTTGATGTTCTTCTAATAATGCGACCGATACACGGAAAAGAACTTCGGAGCTTTCCAAAAAAAGTAAATCTATAGAAATAAAATTAGTAAAATTATATGCAAACAACTTTATAAATTAAACATATATATATATATTATATATATATAATATATATAACATTAGTAAATGCGAGGAATATATCTTACCAAAAACTCTGGTTACAAAACCTAAAGGAAATTGGCTAGAAAACAGCGTCAATAACCACGGAGCGGCATATAAAGTTGGTGAAACTTCATGTTTATCGAAATGATTGTAAATAGTTGGCAAGCGATCGTGTAACAGTCTAGAGAGTTGATATAAGTGTAACTGCAATGCTGCCATATCTGGCAAGTATAATTTTCTAAGTCCTCGACGAAACATTAGATGCCGTAATAAGAAAAAGGCTTGATCCTCTGCCATCTAATAAGAAAATCAAGAAGTAATATTTCATATAAAAACTATTTTGAAATTGTGTACACGCGTATGTGTACTCTATCCAATAATTTACTCAATAATTTATTTCATAATTTTATAACTTTATAATATATATATATATATATATAGATATGTATATTATAAAACTTAAAAATGTACTCACATGCAATAGAAGGACTCCGGCGACAAAACTGAGGCCTTGACAATAACCAACTTCATGATCTAGTAAGGAGTAGGCCTTCAGTAAATTAAAGAGTGCTAATTGACCAGGTCCCAAGGGTGAACTAAAATAGGGATGGCTTGGGAAAGTTCTTCCCAAATCAATAAGAATAGCATGTTGTTGAGATGTGAGTTGTTTCAGGAGAAGTTCATACGGTGTGTTATAATTTGGAAACTCTTGAGTATCTATAGGTGGTTGTTTCAAGCAGAATTGCTCAGCTAGAAACTGCCACACTTCACCTCTTTTTCCTTTTGGTACACCTGTTAAAAAATTTATATATGGCAAGAGATTAAAAGATTTGTCACATTTTAGGAATAATGCTGAAATACATCTTTATTCTATATTACCTTGCTTAATAGCATGTAAAAGCATTTGATTATCACATTTAGTAGAGACTCGCGATTCTTTGCTAACAAGAAGGTCCCAAACTTCCATTACTTCACGCGCGCAGCTACTAAGCTCATCGTATTCGAGTTTAATCCTTTTTACCGTTGCCTCCTCTTGACGTTCTATCATTTTATTAAAAAATTTAAACATGAACATTACATTACTTATTAAAGGATTAAATTAATTTTCAGATATGGGAATTGTTACCTCTAAGCTTTGCGTTTTCTTTTTCCATCCTTATAAGTATTAATTGCTGATTGATCGCTTTCTTCCACAAATCTCTTAATTCTTGTTTCGATCTACGTTTACCGGGTATTTCCAAATTTTTGAGGATATTGATTTTTTCAATTTCTGTAGCGTTATGATCTTTATTCGGTGTCACAACTCTGTTTAGTATTGTTTGCCGCCACGAACTATTGGCTTGTATTGTGTTATTCCCGTCGTTCTCCGTGGGG